CAGGACTCAAATGCCCTGTGAAAGGGGGGCTTGGGGGTGAAATAAGTTTGAGAAATTTTTATTAGAGATTCCCAATGCACGTTAGAATTCTGGGAAGTCCTGCAGCAAAGTATTCTATTTAATTTTATTTAGCCCAATAAAGAAGTCAGTTCTTGAAAAAAAATAGGACTATAATAATTATGTTAAGCTTAGGGTTATATTACTAAGTTAGAGAGTTAAAACAATGATTTTGGTTCTGCAAGGGAAAAATTGCCACAATTATCCCAATTTAAAATAAGTAGGGGCTTAAATATCCAGAAACTTGTCAGTTTCTGTCACTTAAAAAGTGGTTTACTGAGAGCCTGCTCTGAGCCCAGCACTTAAGACTACAGCAGTGAAAGAACAGATGTTTACTCCTATCCTCCCAGAACTCACCACCTCATGTCTCAGGTGACATTTTTCAGATAGTCTTGAGATGGGACAACCATGAAATTGTGTTGTTCTTATACTACATTTTGGTTATGGACTATAATAATATGGAAAAAAATTTTTCAGGGAAAATGCCCCATCTAAAACAAGTTTGCTTCCGTCCCCATTAGTTAGAAAAGAAATACAAATTGAATATCTCTTTCAAATGATTTTTGTCCCCACATTCATAATACTTATAAAAATTTTAGACATAAGTTGTAGATCATAACTCTTACTTAAATTTCATATCCAAGACTCTGTTACATCTGTCGTCTGAAAGATGCAAAATGGGTATTTGGTGGTCAACTAATAAACAAACCCCTGGAACTGGACCCCTGGCAGGCATTTACCCATCCTGCTAATTCTTGAGCCAGCCATGAGTATTAGTACCAGCCCACGAGTGCAGCAATGAGAGCAACGAGGATGAAAGTTGTGTGGGCAGACTGAAATAAGTTTATTTCTGCCTTTTCTCTCTCTCTCTCTCTCTCTCTCTCTCTTTTTAATAATCTTTTGTTTTTCTTAGGACATGTATGCTATAGATTGCTATCACTCAAGTTTTTTTTCCTCTCCATTCTAGACCAGTGCTTAGAGTTATTGAGCATATGCATTCAGTGTTTGTTCTGAAAGATGACATATGTGTACCACATTCAGCCATATCAAGATTTGATATGGACTTCCATAGTCCCCCTTAACTATGTAAGTTTTTAGTTGTTTATCTTAGTTTTAGAGATATTTTTAAAAAGAAAAAGATAAAATTCCTTCTCCCTGAATTCTTTGACCTGAGACAGTTGATGAACGTGGCAGCCATTTCGTTTACCTTTGATTTTCATGCTTTTATTTCCTCAGCCTTTCTATGGCTCACTCAGCGTTTTGAATATCTTCTTAGGCACAAAACCCATCTAATATGTCTATTTTATATCTGTTTTCCTCTCTGGATCCTAATGATATTCTCCTATCTGCTTTTCTCTATGCTAGTGATTTTAAGTAATTTTGAATATCTTCTTAGGCACAAAACCCATCTAATATGTCTATTTTATATCTGCTCTCCTCTCTGGATCCTAATGATATTCTCCTATCTGCTTTTCTCTATGCTAGTGATTTTAAGTATGAGTTCTACTGCTTTTGAAGTTGACTTCTTGTATAAGAACAGAAATATAAACAAGGACAGAACAAATAGATCCTTATTAAGGTGCCTCCCACGATACTCATTTATTTTTTCTTTTCTTTTTGTGTTTTGGGACACCCGTGGCTAAAGGAAAAAAGAAATTTGTGAAGAAAAAGAAAGTTGTTGGTTAATTTAAGAAAATTAGTAAAAGTGAAAAATATTATTTTTGAAATATGTTTTGCCATTTGGTGAAATTTTAACTCAGATGTATATAGTTCAAGAAGCTTTGCTGTGATAAGAAATTCTCTGTCTTAACCTAGTTCTGATCTTCCTTTAGCAGTATGTAATTCATTAGAGTCCAGTGAAAAGTTCCATTTAGAAGTTGGCAGCTGTGGTCAGTGCTAATTAAAGCCTGGAGACTTGACTGAGAAGAAAACTGAGGGTTTGTGAGGAATCAAATCCTTCTCCCCTGTCTACATGATTGAGAGCTGAAATTCTACCAAGTGCTATCGAAAAACTAAGGTCTTAGATGTGAGGACTACAAAGTGTATTGTGGTATGTGTGCACACACACACACGTGTTTATATAGGTATATATGTGTATACATACGTACATATAAATATGGTCACTGTAAACTTTGGTCTGAAATCCCAGGAGATTTTATATAGGAAAAATAAAGATTCTACAATAAAGATTGTACTTAGCTATCTGTAAACTCTTAAAGATTGTACTTAGGTATTTACAGATCTCATCAATGGCCAATTTGTATCTCATAGAGAGAGGAAATCTACATCATACTGATTAGAGTTTTAATTGATATCTTTTTGTATGTTTTAAGGTGAAAGTGTAATTTTAAAGCTTTCTTGGGAATAAATAAAAATGTTAATAGTGGGTATATCTGGGTAATGGGTTATGGATAATCACATTTATCTATATAGTTTTTCAAGTTTTCTGTAATGAGCATATCTCAATTTTATACTCAGAAAAAAGTGTTGATTTAAAGTGACCCTAATTTATTTGGGGAGACTCTTATGACCGTTTAGAAGTTCTTTTCCCGTAGCACTTTTATCATCGCTTATCTTTTTATCTGTGGAGTTCTCACAGCTCAGATGAATCACTAAATATGATCCTCTATATTTGTCAGCTTGGGCTGCCTTAACAAAATTCCATAGACTGGGTGGCCTAAACAGTGGAAATTTGTTTTTTCACAGTTCTGAAGGCTGGAATTCTGAGATTGGGATGCCAGCATGGTTGGGTTCTGGTGAGGGCTCTCTTCCTGACTTGTGGATAGTCACCCACATGCTGCCTGGTATATCTTCTTGGAAGGGTACTAATCCCATCATTAGGGCCCCACCATCCTGACTGATCCTAAATACCTCCCAAAGGCCCCATCATCAAATACTGTCACATTGGGGGTAAAGGCTTCAACATATAAATTTTGAGCAAATACAAACATTTGGCCCTAACACCCCCCTGTTCAAACTGGTAGTATACATGATTTCCAGAAACTGCATCTGAAATAGAAAAATACTGGCAGAAAATTGCTTCTAAAATAGAAAAATACAGGACATACATAAAAACTCTGGATAGTAGAATTAGAGGAGATTTTCTCCATTTTCTGTGAATTTGAAGAATATTGCTTTTATAACTGGAAAAAATACAAAAGGTATTATTTTTAAAAGAAAATGAAATACTACAGAATGTAACATTTTATAATAATCTTGAAATTTTCAGAATCTTTTAATTTCATCTTCTTGGGGGTTTTCTGAGAATAACAAAAGTGAGTACAGCACTTAGAGCACTCAGTTCCTGGCACATAATAGAGTTCAATGAGTAGTTGTCACTGCTCCTCCTTTTTCTCCTTTGAACATCATGACAATGTTATCAGTACCACGCTCAGCCAGTGAGCAAACCGGCCATCCCTATATAGGATCCGAACCGGTGGCCTTGGTATTATCAGCACCACACTCTACCGAGTGAGCCACGGGCCGGCCTCAATGTTAATGATGATAATTATTATTATATTTCGTTAGGGCACAGCCTTATAACACAAAGGTCACAGGTTCAGATCCCTGTTCCAGCCAGCCACCAAAAAAAAAAAAAATTATTATTGCCACATGAGATATGCCATAGAGCATTTCATATAGAAAAATAAAATAGACAATAGTCACAAAGTCAGGAAAGACATATTTGTTGCATTTTTTAAAATGAGTTATTTATAAATAGAATAACCCATTCATTGTCTTTGCTTTTGGAATTCTTAATCTTTCAGATTCTAAAAAAATGAGTTGGTAAAAAAAAAAATTAGTGGCTTGGTTTTTGTAACATTCAGTGTAAATTCATACACGCTCCTTGAATCTGTGCAATAAAACGGCAGATAGATGGGGACAGTGAGAAAACTTAAAGGCAAACTTCCAACACATTTCATTCCAAAGACTGATCTGAGACTAATACCTGAGGCTGAGGAAATATTTTTGCGCTTCTCTGTTTTGTTGCCCTGTTAGAGCTCTCTCTACTTTCTATTGCATTGTGTCTTATTATGCTCTATCTCGTGTATAGAGGCTGTCATTGGTTGTTTTCTTTTCACTTAATCCCACATCTGAATGTAATATTTCCAGATTTTTGGCTCTGTAAATCAGAAGGTTAAACATGCCCTGCAAGGTAGTCAGGTTTTTTGTCACGTAGAGACCTGACTGCTCACCAGTTAAATCATGACGTTGTGATATGTTATTTCTAGTTGCTATAAATTTTCAATATTTAGAGTAGCAGTCATACTAAGTGAAGAGTCAATTATTTAATTTCACTTATGTCTGTATTTTTGATGAAAATCTTTTCCCCGTTTGGTGGATTTGAACTTCCTTCTCTATCAGAATCAAATTCCAAGCATGCCTTATAAAACCAGCTATAGAACATACACATGAACAACCCATTTTTGTGTTTACAAGTGTATTCAAACATTCACACTGGTAAACTATATCCCAAATTATAAATTTGGGGCCGGCCCGGTGGCGCACTGCTACAGTGTGCCGCTTGGGAGCGCAGTGGTGCTCCTGCCTTGAGGGTTGCGATCCGTTGCCGGACACAAAAAAGGAAAAAAAAAAAAAAAAATTAAAAAAAATAATAAATTTGCCCACTTAAATGGTGTTTCAATTTAGTTTTTTAACACTTTAAATTACTTTTTATCCCTGTTGCTTTGTGGTTTGATTTCCAGATATTAGGCAGACATATCTAGGTAGGTCTCTGTATTGTATTGAACCATGATCCTGATGGGGAGTTTAAGCAATAACATCACAAATGATCCACAGAAGTGAAAAAAATAAATCGATCTGAATTCGGGGCTATGTCTACATCAAAGTTAATGTATTATTAGCAAAAATGCTTTCTTAAATTCCATTTTGATGATGCTGAAAAAAATTTTTTTCTTTTTCTTTTGTTTTTTTACCAACAGGACACAAAAATCGCTTCATTGGAGCGAAACATAAGGGATCTTGAGGATGAGATCCAGATGTTAAAAGCCAATGGTGTGCTGAACACTGAGGACCGTGAAGAAGAGATTAAGCAAATAGAGGTTTACAAAAGTCACTCCAAGTTTATGAAGACCAAGGTATGGTCTAGAGTTATGAATTTTTATATTCTTGGTGTGACTAGAAAGTTACAGTTTACATACATACTTTTCCGAAATACCCACATACATAACCTGCTTTATGTTACATCATGAAATATATAGACAATAGAGAAGAATGCTGAAGATTTTTAGTACAGAAATATAGGTTCCAAAAAGCAATCGGGAAAAAACTGGTGAATTTTTTTTTTTTTCGTACTTTTCTAATGAGTTCCTGTCTTGGGAATTAACATATTTATAGTCCTCTTTCTTCCCAGTTTCCACAGTTAACATGTTTGTTTGCTATTTTTCTTTAAGTTGCTGTCACTCCAAAATTTCCTGCCTTTCCTTAAAAAGTGATTGTCTCAAAAACTATTGCTCTTACAAGCCAATTTAACTCATTTCAATGTTATTTAGACATTTTGGGTTTAACATGTTTAAGACATAAATGATTTTGAATGTCAATGCTGCCCTTTACTCAAATTATTCAAACTGTCTAAGCTTCAGTTTTTTCATCCGTCAAATAGGAATAAGAAGAGTACCTACATCATTGGATTGCTCTGAAGATTCCAAGAGATTATTCGTTTAAAGTTCTTAGTCCCTTTTCTGATCTCTAGAAAGCATTAAACAAATATCAGGCACTGTCGTTGATAGTATTATTCTTATTATTGTGGAATATTTATAAAATATTATTAGAGTAACCTGCTCCATTAATTTATATTGCTATTGCCAGTTTTGAAGAATCTGGCTTATATTTTTTAAAATTGAACTTTGGGCTGTAAATGGACTGTGCATCTGAATATCCATTATTTTTACATATGTATAATTATTCAATTTATGAATAGCCCCAAATAAGTCTTTTAAGACTTTGAGATGCTCTCATCTATTCCTCTATTTATATCATTTTGCTTCTGAAAATAACAACCATACCAATTAAAAAAAATTTTTTTTTTTACTACTTGCTCTTAAATGTTCCTGTTTTTGTTATAGGTTTTAATCATCTTCATTGCCTTATAAAATGTAGCAGAATTATAGTAATGCAGACTTCTGTGAGAAAGCTGTGGGAGAGGGGAGAAAATAATGTTTGAATAATTTTAACAGTTGTGAACTACATGCATACTCCTTGCAGAGTTTGCAAATTATAGAGAGGAAATAATATTATTTAGCATTTTCTTCACTATGTATGTATGTGTGTGTATGCATATATGTTTCTTCAGGGAATATAATAGAAACTGTGCTTATTTCTGCCAACTTTCTGTCTCTAAGTAGACACTGAGATTATGACTAAAAATGTGGATCAAGGAGTAGAGATATGAGAAGGAGAATGTCCAATGGATTTGAAAGTAACCACTTCCTTTCAGGACTGCCACAAAATGCAGAATGGATTTCTCTGCTCAGTCCTCCCTTCTGGTTTCTTTTTTGCAGTCCTTCCCTCTCAGAGTTGGGATGAGGTGCAGCAAACACAGCACTAGGGCGAACTGCAGGCAGTGCTCAAATCACTCTGGCAATGAAGACCAGAGGCACAGATATGAGTGAACTCAAGAAGTTTGGGTGAAATTTCTGCTTCGGCTTAAACTTTTCCTCCCCACCTTGTCATTCAACAATGGTAGATTGTTCAAACCATTCTACAGCTGAAAAGCCCATGAAATTTGCAAACTCTGACCCTGATCATGGACTCTGTCCAGATGAATAAAACATTTATATGGTCTTCAGCAAGCAAGTCATGACCTTTATTAGCCTGCATTTGTCTGAGAGACTATCAATCCTTGAGTTAGATTTAACTTTTAATGCTTAGGTACTCTTAAGGGTTCCAAATGCAGTCAGGTCAAAAGAATGTTTGAGGAGAGCAGTGGAGTGAGGTGGAGAGAGTGCATGCTGAAGACTAAAGTAGACTCTGGCAAATCTCTAGCCTGCCCTTGCTAGCTGCATGGCCTTGGGTGACTTAAGTCACTCAACCACACTGTCCTCTTCCATAAAATGGTGGCAACAACACCATCCTTAGAGGGTGGCTTAAAGGGATAAATGAAGATTAAATGAAATAATACAGTTAAAGTACCTGGCTCAAGAAAGTAGCTAATAATTATGAACATTAGTATTGAAGAAGTAACACCAAATATAATAATGACAGTAATAATAATATAATAATGTTATATTTAAACTGACTAATGGGAAAATGGACTTCTAAGAAATTCAAATAAAAATGAGTTTTTATAATGTCATGTACATATCCCTTATAGACTGATAAACATTACTAAAAAGTGCTAGTAAAAGTCAGTTTTGTGTATTTTCCCCATTGAAAGAATGTTCTTGTTGATATGAACCATTACATTTATTGCTTATACTTTATATCATTAATTACTTGTTTTTCTTAATTCCCCTACTCTGAGAGGTGAGTGTGATTTTTTATTTAAGCTTGGGAATGCTGTTGCATTAATTCTTAAAATGAATAAAGTATGGGGCCAGCCCGGTGGCACACTCGGTAGAGTGCGGCGCTTGGGAGCGCGGCGGCACTCCCACCGAGGGTTCGGATCCCATATAGAGACCTGTCCGCTCACTGGTTGAGCGCGGTGCGGGCGCGACACCGAGGGTTGCGGTCCCGTTGCCGGTCGCGGTACGGGCAGGACACTGAGGGTTGCGATCCCGTTGCCGGTCACGAAAAAAGACAAAAAGGGGGAAAAAAAATGAATAAAGTATGTAGCCTGGAGGGAAAGCAAGTATTTTAGATAGCCATGTGAAAGGGCATGCACCTCCATTTTGATGCTGAGATGATGGTTAGAACTGGTAGGTCCTCTTGAAAGCTCTGTGGATAAATTAAGTAGCAGAGAAGACCTAGCATGGTTTTATAAATATGTTATCATAGAAAAACCATGATGTAACATTTTTTGGAAGGGTGGAGGATGTGGGTTGCAAAAATGTAAAAGCAGAGTTTTAGAATCTCTGTTTGTGCGAAAGCAGGATACCAGACAGAGTTGGCCAGGGTAGAAATCCCGGCATCTTGTAAATCCTTTGGCACAGGAATGTTGTCCCAGAACGGAGACTCTGGGTGTCCTCCTACTCTGTGCAACTCTCCCCTGTTACAAACTCTCATTCCTACCCCAACTCTGTAGGCTTAGAAGAATCAGACCGTGATAGGTAGATCTAAGAGGACATGGAAAGCACGAGTTACTTTCAGGAGCACCATTAAGCCTTTGAGAATGGAATGTACCATATAAATAATTGTTTTTCTGGTGGGGAAAGAATGATGGCGTCCCCTTTCTGTACAAGGCTTTGTTCCTAGTCTAACACATTTTTCATCTACTGATCCCTGTATTTCTATGTTAGCTGCCCCCTCTGTTTTCATTGTTTGCCAAAGACGCCACTCTGCTGTCTTAGATCTCCTCTTTTATTCTGAATTTGTAACACATTTTCTTATAAACCTATGATGGATTACCAACCTCATAACCCAAACTGCATGATAATAAGCGTATCACTTTCTAGACATGAGGGCCATATCTCCAGTGAAAAAGAAGCTGTTTTCCTTGGCAGAGTGTTTTTTTCGGGGTGTTGGTTGTGTCACAGACGTAAGTGGGGGAAGAATTTTTAGACGGGATGAAGTGTGCCTGACGTCCACATGGACTTCATATAAAGCATGTGATGTAATTCCGATTGGATTTTCTTCTGGCCATCACAGAGACAGACCTTCCCCAGCCTCGGTTCTCATGTATGTTTGATTGCATCACTTTCCATTTTTATTGAGTTTATGGCTGTAAAAGAAGGAAAAGGCATATTTTAATGGAAGATTATGATTTTTTACTTTGTAACTATATTCCCTTTAGGAAAGCCTTTTTCTGTTATTGTCTGCATAAATATTTATTTAAAATTTACCTCATGGCAGTGATAGTCTGAAAGCTATTTAAACCCACTGCCTATTTAATATTTATAGACTGAAATAGTTTTATCATTATCAATCTATTTTTTTCAATCTATTTTTATTGAATAAAGTAGGTGTATGAAGAACCTGCCATGCCATTACTTTGTGTTAAACACCCTTTTGTTGATCAAGTTAATTTCATTCAAATTTCTGTTCCAATACTCCCACCCCCATACTAGATTTCTACTCTGGTATTTGTGGAAGTTAGCAAAAATCGTTTTTTTTTTTTTTTTTTTTTTTTTTTTATTATAAACATCATTTTTGCTTAGGCGTGTTGAGTTTAAAGTTTTTTGAGCATTAATTTCAGATGAATCAGTTTCATATGTGGAATCAATTATATCCTGTGCTGTCAGCTACAACTGGATATGATTTGGGGGCCATATCCCCTGAGAAGAGTGCTCATAATGCTGATCACAACAGATTTTAATTACTTTTATTATTTTAGGTAATCCTAATTCCTTCTTTTTATTTATATTCCATTCTTGTTGTATGTGTGAGAGAGAACTTCTTACTTTTGTTCCAGATAAAAATGACCATAGACTCATGATTTATTAAATTATAAAGAAGTAATGTTTTTCATGAATTGCACACTTGCTTACATATACCAGGGCACATTAATAAACAATCTTTCCCAGAGAACCTTAAAGCATACTCAGAATTCTTCCCAAGACCATTTCCCGTTCAGCCACTACGAATTTTTTATGTTTGGCAAGAAAGATGAAACCTGTTTGTTCCGTGATGTAGTCTGACTTCTCCTTGCAAATGGGATTTCCTTCCTTATCAACCCTTCCAGTAAGTCTTGTGACCTGAACCCTTCTGAAGATGGAGGTCTCACTCCTTGTTAAGCATACTGTGCTGTTCATGTGGAGCTGTTTGTCAGTAGGTGGGTTGCTGAAAACAACAAAACATGCTGAATGAAATATATTTTTAAAACATGTATTTTAAAATGTCCTTATGAGATATAAAGCGGGAAAGAATCTCAAGGGTCAAAGCCAAGCCATAGCAGAGAACTTGTGTGATAAGCATGGGTTATCTATTCTTGTTGTTTATCAGACAGGTGAACTTGTGCTTTCATTTTTACAGTCACAAAGAC